GGGAAAGAGATGCTAAAACCTTTACATTTTTGTTCGTACACAGTTATAACTTTGAAAATTTCCCTTTGTCTGCAGGTGCCAATTCATCTCTCACAGCAGCTGTGGTTGTATTAACTGGTCTGGTTGGAGCAAATTTTGTGCAAGCGACACTCGATAGACTCAGTTTCCGTGATCCAATTGCTCGGGGAATAGCAACTGCTTCTAGGTATATTCTATGATCAATAGATAGTTCACTTGACCAAAATTTCATTTTCATTGCATTCCATTCTTCTATTACTAGCATAAGTTAAAGGTCACTAACATTAATTTTTCAGTTCTCTACTCCGATAAACAGGGTGGGGATTTTTTTAAGATTCCCATTGTTAGGTTCAACTAAATTTCAAGAATCAATTGCTTATTTTCACCACCTTCACGAGGGAGTTTTTTGAAAACTTAAGCAATTATTTCTCAAAAAATAATCCATACCAAACATGCAATAGTAGTTGGACAACATTTTCTTCATGCATGTATGGCTATTTAGTATTTACTTGCTCTTGACCAAGTATGTTTCACAGTGCCCACGGACTTGGAACAGCAGCTTTGTCTGCCAAGGAGCCTGAGGCTCTCCCATTTTGTGCCATTGCTTATGCTCTAAATGGTATATTTGGATCTATTCTTTGCTCGATTCCAGCTGTCAGACAGAGCTTGCTTGCAATTGTTGGCTGAAATTGTCATTTATCACGACCTGCTGCTATTCATTCCTTCAAATGCCATAATAACTCTCGGTGCTAATCTGATGGTTGCACAAAATGTATAGGGCGATAATCCAGTATCATTGTGCCAAATGTTAATTGTATAGAAAGCGATAATCCATTCATTTATGATTTATTTATATTCTATGACTGCAATTATCTATGTTGTATTTTTATAATCGGAAGGAAATATTACAAAAACAATAATAAGATTCTTGGGACCTTTTACATACTATCTCAATCCTCCACCACTAGACTGAGCTAACTCAAAAGACTATAAAACTCTTGCCTTAGTGTTTAAAATATAATTAATTGTTAATATTTGATGCATGTAAAATACATTTAAGGACAAATGTACTCTATTGTGGGCTGCAATAGTAAGGATAAGAGAACAAATGTCGAGCCTAAAAGACTAAAGGGTAATTACAAGGGTTTAGTTAATTTGCTAAAAAATTATGATACTGAACAATATGTTTGATTTACAAAAAGATCATGAAACAAATACAAATCAAATGAATAAGGGCATGAGAACAACTCTATTTTTTAATTACTCAATAAATAAATGATACAATTTTTTGTCTCAAGTACAAAATACTCGAGAGACAAAAACACCTACCATCATCATTATAATCAATGTTTTTGCACCCCTTATCATGGGAAATTTGTATGTTATGGTTTCTTTTTTCTTGTTTGAGGTTGAACTTGATAAAAGAGGCATAGCCTAGGGTCCTATTAATATGGTTATGATTAGGAGGATCTAAGGGGATTGAGTTCATAATGAGATTAGTGGTCTAAGTTTATCTTGAGCTATAGACTACTAAATATATAAGGCCAATACATTTTTGCAAATTTGTGTATATTTTTCTTTATTTGGGACAAGTACTATAGGGACTTTATTGTAATTTTTTATTGTGTAATTTTTGGGCCTAGGAGGTGTCATTTATTTTTGGGGCATGAATTAATATTTTAATTGAATTTAGTACCTAAATTGAGTACATGTATGCATATGGTGTATTACATTCAAATTTAAATGTTGAGCACATGATAACTCAAAATGAGTCACACTTTCCTTGCTTGTCACATGACATTCTCTCATTGGATAGTCTACATCTTAAATCTAAAAGCACATGACATCACATGGTAATAATGGTAATAAGTTGGATGTGCAAATTTGAATTTGGCTCCTAAACTAACTCTAGTTAAAAAAAATCATGGTTATTTCATAACCTTGGTTGCCTAGCTTGCTCCATAAGCTACCTAGCTCTATTTAAATGATTTTCCCGCTTGTATTCACCACTTTGGAGTTTTATGAGATTCATATTTGGTGAATTCTCTCTCAATTCTCTCTAAAGTCTCTTGAGAGAATTTTCGTCCTTAAGTACCTTCATCAAGAAAACTCTCCTTGTAATAAATACCTCGTTTCTTGCTTATCTCTTTTTCGAAGAGTGGTTCACCTACCTCTCATATCTTCTCCACATTTTCAATTTTCATTTTGTGATTTGAATACATAGAAAGTAACTTGAAGAGCTCGGAAGCATCTTAGCAGAATTCAACCACCGATTCACCATAAGAGTTTAGAATTAACAAAAATTAACAAGTAATAAAAGGTTTCAAAACAAGCTTTATCAATGAAAAAAAATATAATAGTGAATAGGACATGATTGTCATTTATTTGTGTTCTTAATCCTTTTCAATGTTCAATTTCACTTAAAACTTGTATTAACTATCAAATACCAATATTTTCCTATTTTCTATTGATAATCATGATCATGTCATATGATACTCTATTTCAAGTTAACTTCCTATTTGATCATTTAAGAATTTAAAACCCTAAAAAGGCATGGAGAATAGAGGTGATGGAAAACCATATGAAGAATAGTGTTGAGTTCTCCTTAACTTCTTCCTAGCTCCTCCAATCATCACCTATGACTCCAAATGTCAAAGAAATAAAAAAAATATGGATAGGAAAAATAGTGTATGGCATGTCACTTCTAAGTGGAAGACAAGTAAGAAATGATGAATTTGTCACAAAGAGGAATTCCTTGATAAAAGTTCTTAAGAAAAATTTTTTCCAAAGAGAGAACAAGACTTTGAAGAGAGAATTTGAAAACTCAATTCTCATACAAATGCTCAAAGTAGTTCATCCAATATGAGGTTACATACTTACATGTAGATATAGAGTTTCGTAACTTGTGGTGTAAGTTAAACTAATAAAGATTAAATGTAACCAATATTAGGTTAACTTGTACTCAAACTAACTAACTCTAGTTCAAATTTGAAATTTAAATTTGAATTTTCCCTCCCATTTTGGATGCCCAAATATATATCTAGAGTGGCTAATGAGAGTTTGCTCACTGCAAGGTACAAAAGGTGTGATGGAGAATGTTCCAGTAGAAACAAGGGTGTAGAAGCAAGCGTACCAAAAGTGTGACTAATGCTTGGATCATGTGACTTAGTGGGTTTTGTTTGAACTAATGGGAGAGTAATGTGTATGAAGTGGACATCTACTTGGAGATTAATCTCCATTCTCTCATGGTCCAAACAAGTCTAAGAAGCACATATCTCAAATACTAGTTGTACCCCCGCTAAAATTCTAAATACACTCCTAAGGAGAAGATTACAAGAAAATAAATTCTTATATTATTTGACCCAAAAATACAATGTTATAATTAAGAAAATATTTATAAGAAAAAATATATACAAAGAAGAGAAAGGAAATTACTAAAAGTGATCCAAAGCTCAACATGAACTCAAAACTTCTTCCTTCAAGCCTAGTTGAATCCTCTTAGGTCCTTTTGAATTGACCCTATTGTAGACCCCTAAAATTGTCCGGGTCGGAAATAAAGCTTGAAGACTCTCGAAGACTAAAGGAAAGTCAGCCGGAAGGACTCCTGGAAGACCCTGGAAGACCCTAGGATGATTATCTGTAGGTTTAGAGGTCTTAGAGTAGCAAAAAATAAGAAAGTGGAGGGAATGAAGCCCAATACGGCCTCCCAAGAGTTCAGTACGGCCGTATTGAACATTTTAAACTACAATACGGCCGCACTGAACTCAATACGGCCGTATTGAAGTTCAATACGGCTGCATTGAACTCAATACGGCTGCACTGAACTTCAATACGGCCGTATTGAGGTTTTTGAACTTCAATACGGCCGTATTGAATTCAATACGGCCGTATTGTAGTTCAAAACTTCAATACGGACCGTATTGACCCCCAGAAACCGTATTGAGCCTCTTCCCTATAAATATGACGTCAATGGGACGTCATTTCACACTTTCACACTGAGTTTTAACCCTCTTCTTGAGTATTCTGGGTTTTTTTGAGCAGTGCTCTGCCTAGAAATCACTCGGAGAGTTGATCCGAC